ACGCGTCTATGAGTTTTTTGATTGATTGATTTATGTTCCAAGCGCATCAGCTGCTACGGTCATTAGTGTATTGAATATTTTATCACTGGAGGTGGCCGTGTTTCCATCCTTCTAAATGCCTGGATCCGGCGTGGACGTACACGTGTGTTTGATAGGAATGTCCCCCTCTATTTATCTTTCCCAGCAGTGCACCGCCCCGTCGGGAGAAGCTCGAAACTCCCGACTGGTCTATCGACATTGAATTGAATTGAATGCCTTATTTTACGTGGCGAGACTCAGGCCATTAGGCCTGCTCTTCCGTCTGACCACGCAAATTTCGCTACGCTCCTTTCACCAACTAGCGGTGAAAGGAGGCATATCTTGGGCGAGAAACCGGCGATTTGAATTTAGCTCAGAGGCGTCATTTAGGCTTGAGGATCTTTTACATGCAAGTAAATCTACGAGCATGGGACAGCCGGCTTTACTTCCCCTCGTAGGCGTATGAAGGATTTTTTCGCCCTTCGCGCTTCGATCGGGTTTGAACTCGCCAACTTGGGTACAACAGTCCAGTACGCTAACCGTTACACCATCGCCGCTGCCATCGACATGTGGGATAGTGCACATGTGTGAGTCCATTAGTGCACATGTGTGAGTAGGGGAGATGATAAGGCGAGAAGGAGGAAGGAAAGATCCATCACCGTCGGGATTCGAACCCTGGACTTCCTGGTCAGAGTCACTGCAGCGGTAGCGGCAATGCTGCTCTGAGCTAAACCCAGCCGTTCCGTCTCGTAGTCAACAATAGAATTGACTTTCATTTTACCATTGGTGTGAGGCTCAGTGAGAAAATGTATTAGCTTGTACTACTGAAACGTCAGTTAACCTACCGAATACTGATTTCCACAAGGCTTCTGCCGTAACTACTGATTTTAGATTAGCTTAGTTAGAATGAATTGTTAGTGTTGTGAGTAGATAATGTTCGAGTTTGGATGAATTTCATTATGGAACGGATTTCTCATTTAAAAAACAGAACTGATATTTATTCCAAATAAATCGTGATATACATTTTTAGATGCAAAAACTATTATCAAAATACTTTATTACCCTTAAAATAAAATTACATCATATTAAAGAAGGTCATCATTTTCCGTAACATCCCAACACTTAGAAAATGCCAAGCATTTCTGCGAGGTTCATTATTACAAAAATATATTTATTTTAACCAAATGAGCGACTTTGAAACTCTAAAATTCTTTGGAAGCGTTTTGGGCGGTTGGGGTCTAGCCAATGAACAAGCAATCGCGACCAGCTGTTGTGTAACAGTGTTTATAGATTTGGAAATCAAACGTCGAACTAGCGCATTGCGCATCAATGCGGAATGACCGAGGTCTGTAAGGCTTCCAGTTATCTCTGCTCGGATGATCGAGTTCAAAACATTAAACAATTATTGCATTTCTACGATTCTAAAACGCCACCGCCTTTGATGATCATCCAAGTTCACTCTCGAGAATTTAAAAAGAACAAAAAATTGGGGAACCAAATTACTCATCGAAATGAAAAAAAAATTATATTACACTAATACGAATACCAAAGTGAAACAGTGTTAAATTTGACAGTGACAAAGTCAAAGTAAACTGTGTTATATTCGACAGTGACAAACGTGAATAGTGCTATTTATGTTGGGAGCTTTACATTTTCTTATTTTGTTTTTAAATAGCGTCAATAAAGAAGTTCCCGAATCAGTTGCTCGGAAAATCTACCACTTTGCAATCCACCCGACAACCAGAGGCCCTTTCCCTCTACGGAATTGTTACGGGCTGTAATAATAATAATAATAATAATAATAATAATAATAATAATAATAATAATAATAATAATTCTATACAAATACTTGAATTCAGGAAACCATTGAATCGAAAGTAGTCCTGATATCCGGTTATCTAAAACCAGAAATAAAAACAACATTCCATTTCATTTCCACGAAATATGTGATTTACTGCACCCAACTCTTAACACTCATTCCTTTCTATTGAAACCAAATTTGAGACGATGAAATATCTATCACGCCGAGCTTAGGATAGTAGATAGTGATTTATAGATACCTTTGTTAGACGCGATTTCTTCGTCGTTCCAAACAAATATAGAAAACGCTTTGTGACTAACACTCAAGACGTCGCAAATGCGAGTCCAGTATTATTATCTTCGTGGTTGGAGCACAAGGAACCGGTTGCTCTTCCTGGTTTTGTTTACGCGACTTGAAAAAGTAATGCGAATATCTCTTCTGAGTGATCAGAAAACTAGGCCAGTATTTTGCAATATTATTGTTCACAAATCTAATCTGTAGTTTAAAAGTGTAACTGCCATATCAGTTTAACAATAGCATGCGGATTAATGAACTGTGTATCTAACGACCACCCACTCTCGGAATGAGAGCCTTTCGATCTCCTGTTCGTATGAGGAACTTCTAAAATGTTTATCGACTCACAATTTATCTTTCTTAAGAGACTTGTTGGAACATTTATTTTACTGTATTCTATTGTATGAATTCAATGCACAGCACGAAACTGAACTATGTTACTGTTTATTTGCTTCAATTTACTTGTGTTTTATCAAGTGGTGCCTGGGAGAGTGAAATTGAAATGCCAAATTGAACGATGCGATATGACAGGTCTCGATGCAGGTCTTATAGGGGATCAAACAGTTTTGAGGGACATGGTACATTTCAACATTTCTTGCCATTATTACGTTGCAGACAAAAAGGAATCAGCGAGTAGCAAGCACCAGTAAATAAGACTTATTTTCAACCTGTGGATGCAGGTGAGGGCAGATAAGAGGCGACACGTTGTTCGCTGGTTTCCTCGTTTACTGTGAAGATCTCACGTAATCCTGGTTCCTGCTCATATAAGAAGGTAGTTATGTTCTCAAAATCGAAAAAAAGCACTAAATGCTGCCAAGCCTGCCAAGCAAGAGAGCGGGAATTTTTCTTCTATGAAATCCAAAATTGGTTCTTTATGACCACTTTATTCCTTGAACAGGCACATGCAGTGAAGCCAAAGAAATATTGACGAATTTTCAGATTAATGTGCTTGGAAATAAAGATCAGTCGGTATAAAAAGGATTAAAATGCAAAGCATTCGAAATCATCCGCATCCGAAATCATCAGATCATTCGAATCCGAAAGATCAAAATCGACAAGTAAGTCATCTGACGTGAAGAGTTAAATGACAAGAAATGTTTCCAAAGTGGAGACATTAGGAAAACAAAAGCGCCCGGTAGTATTCCAAATTCGCACTAGGGCCATCCAGAATATTCGTTCGCTTTTAGAAACAGAGGGGATTCGTACATTACGCCTAAAGCAATCAAAGGGGAGGGGTTTCATAAAAAATGAATGTTTTTGCAGCGCTTTTATTATAATTGTAATATTAATTCCATATTATAAATAAATGTTAAAATTAATCAAGCAAGTATAGAGTGATTGAATTTGAATAATTATTTCCAAATCTATGAGAATTGTAATGTGTCACTTTCCTTAAACTCAGAAATACAGGGGGAGGATGTGAAATGAAACGTTCATCTCAGGGGGAGGCTTTTCAAAGTATTTCAAGTTAATCACTGTCAGGAGGCTGGAAGGGGGCGTATACCATCTACATCATGCGGTCACCTTTTCCTAAGCCATTTACTTACATCCCTTCAAACGCATAACCAACTCCATGGCATTCCTACCCAAGAAGACGCTTGATTTCTGCGTTTTCCGTGGACTGCTTAGAATCACATTGATCAATTATAATTTATCCACTTCTGTTTTCACGAAACATTTGCGTATAATTTTAGAGAATTTCATTGTTGAAAACCACTGCTTAAACTTTTGCGGAAACAAATCATGAAATCACCAATCACGAGCATTACCTCAGTGCTTTAACATACAAGTACATACTTCCGAAGATTCTACGTGCTCATCATTGTACGAGGTTTTCTCTCAACTGATGTGAGAGCCTCTATGTGCGATACGTATGAATCCAAACTTTAATAAAATTGTTACTCCTTCCGGAACACCGTATGCATGAAACGGGTTGGTGTCTTCTCATGTAGGTTCCGAAAAGTGAATGCGGATAAGTTGGGGAAAAAGGTTGCGGGGAAACTGTCTACGGGATGCAAGTGGAAAATTCCCACTAAAAACTAAATTTTGGGGAAGTATTTTTGAATGGACCCCTTAACGGATACCAGGTTGTCCGAATTCCACAAAGCTGTGAAATGACGCCGAAAAAGGAAGGATAGAGTAAGCATATATACATCAAATAACGGTAAATTCATGATCGATCTATTGGAGAAAACAAACCGCCATATGAGCACTTCATGTTTTACATTCACAGTCACGCCAGTAAATATTCTTAGTCATACGCACCCTCAGTCCCCTTCATTCGCCGTAAGTGCCACAAGAATAATGCACAAGACCATTCACCTCCAAACATTTATGTTATACGAATTCGCTGCCCCAAAGTTGAATTGAGTATATTCGCTATAGCCGATGTGAAGAGTTCACCATAACCGAATAATCTGTGATATTCCTTTTAACCTATATGAATCGGGACCAGAGACTTTGGTTCACTACTTCCGAGTCTATTATATCCACAGACTACTGCTGCTAGGGAGATGAAGTCTACATCTACAGCTACCTACCTTTCTAGAGATAACTAACAAGTCTCGCCTGTTTCTAGTTCTTGAAAAAAATCCGATGATTTCTTTTAATGAAGATGGTGTCTGATGATGAAAGGCCAATTCATTTAATTTCGATAGTAAATTGAACATTAAAACTTTATTTATGTGAATATGAGCTCTTGATTTAACTGGAAAACTATCTGAAATTTCATAAATCTATATATCGGTTTGTTTTTTGTTGGATAGTTGTTTCATTGAGATTACCTTTGCATAACTCACATCTACAATCTTTCGAAAATTCATTAGCAGTATAAAGACAATTTTTGTATATATTGTGCATTAATTCATTCATCCCTTTTATTCCGTAGGTTTGCCTCGCAACGATGTCCTGTTACAATGCACGGCAACTTCTAAATCCAAGAGAACTCCACTAAGTAAGTTTGATATAAATTAATTTTCGTTTTCATAATTTTCACAATTTCGAATTGTCACAAGAATGGGAAGATGATATAAATACATGTGTCACAAGACCACAAATGTTAAAGTTGAGGAATTAATTCGCTCTCATTACAATTTTCTTCTGTATTAAAAGTATTACATTTTTATTTGTCGTTTTTCATTTGCATTATCGTGCCTGTCGCTACATCTTGGGTTTATGAATCTGTGAAACAGTGAATAACTATCCCGTTGCCCGAATTGGATACTAGGAACTAATGTATTGTAATGTAATGTAATTGTGGTTAGGCGGAAGAGCAGGCCCTGTGGCCTGAGCCTCGCCATTAATAAAGACATTATAATTATAATAATAATAATAATAATAATAATAATAATAATAATAATAATAATAATGTAACACTATCTCACCTAGTGGGGCTTCGGAATGGAATGGTTTCTCTTATTCGTTTATTTCCTAATTTGTTTAGCCTGTGCTAGCTTTTCAGCGTTTCTCCACTCTCTTCCGATCTGCTACCTAACGGCGCCTAAAAATATTTTTGTTTCGTATTTCCTCAGTTATGCAGCCCCTTACTAGCTGAGTTGAAATACGACGGTAAGAATATCGTAGACGAGTGAAACCACTTTTTTTGTACAAGTTTGCATTGCAAAATTTAGGGTACTTTTGAAAGAAAGTCGTTCGAGTTTTTCTGAAAATGCATAAAGTATTTGAATCGCCTATATGTAAATATTAACAACGTGAGTGATGTATAAAAAAAGATACATTGGTGTAATTTTAGAAAATCAGAAAAATATAGCAACATTACGCGTATGTCATGCTATTGAGTGAATTTAGAGCTATTCATGCAAAACTATTTTTTTTTATTGGAGCCGTTTTTGAGAACCAATACTAGTGTTGTTCACAGAGGGATGGACGTTAAAAAAATCCGTGTCAGGGGACTCCGTAAAGTTTATTTCCGATGAATCATCGAAATCGTTTTTCTCTTTAGTATTTATGTTACTTCGTATATACGTAAAGAGAAAGAATAAATAGTTGTTTCCGTTTAATTTTTCCAAGGCACTTAAATGTCTCTAAAAAGAGATTACGTCAAGTTAATGTCATCTTAATTAACTCGGATATTAGAGAGATTCAAAATGCACTCACTTCTCATGTCTAATGAAATGTATTTAATTCAACTTCAGGCGTATTCTCGCCGCAATTCTTCTAGAGAGCCACTCGCTCTACGAGAAATTAACTGGTACGCCGTTTCCTTAGCAGTTGCCGCTCTTATCATGTTATTTTTGCTCTTGTAAAGACAGGAAGCCGTATTGTGAAGAAACGATAGATTGTCAAATACGTGTATTGGTTGTCATTGCCATGGCTGATATGGATCGTATCGTGCTATTGTATTGATGTTTTTCTTGAAACTGGAACTGTGATTCTACATTTTGCCTTGGGACCGGGTCAAGTGAGAGATCGGTCGGTCGTGTTGCAGTCACGTGTCTAATGGTCAATGTCTTGTCAATGATGCGTACATTCGTTAAAGTATGTGGCCTTATTGCTCTCGTGTATGAATTTTTCATGAGACATATGTAGTGAATCCGAAAAATTCTTTAGAGACAGGGAATCTAAACAAAACCATTTAATCTACTTTGACTTAATATATTGAATACGTTACTTATATTGCATAAATGTACTAATTTTTAGAATTCCCTATTTGTATTAATGCCTCTCTCCACTACTCCATTCCACATTGATTTTTGCCGTTATTGATATTGTTGTTGTGTTGTTAGTATGTTGCTGATTCTGCTTGTAAATAAATGAATGTCACCATCTACAAACCCTCTAGGGATTTGTCTCGCCCATCTACAAATATTTTGGACTGAATAAACTCATTACTAGCAAGCAGAATAGAAGTTAATAATTGGACAATTTTTTATATTATCTTTTAAAGACACTTATTCTCTTTGAACAAAACAACCAAAAATTACGTGAATTCGATAAACGTATCTGACATCATTTATAACATATTATAGTCTACCCTCCGTTATCTGACTTGCGTTAACAGATTGTGTATTTTCCGCCAATTTAATTACAATGAAATGCTAAAATAAAGTAATGAAATGACTTAACAGATTAAAAGGAAGTGAAATGTTCTTTCTTGTTCTTGTTCTTGTTCTTCTTCTCCTTCTTCTTCTTCTTCTTCTTCTTCTCCTTCTTCTTCTTCTTCTTCTTCTCCTTCTTCTTCATCTTCTTCTTCTTCTCCTCCTTCTTCTTCTTCTTCATCTTCTTCTTCATCATCATCTTCTTCTCCTTCTCCTTCTTCTTCTTCTTCTTCATCATCTTCTTCTTCTCCTTCTTCTTCTTCTTTTTCATCATCTTCTTCTGATTCTCCTTCTTCTTCTTCTTCTTCTTCATCTTCTTCTTCTTCATCTTCTTCTTCTTCGTCTTGTTCTTCTCGTCATCCTCCTTCTTTACATTCAGTTCATTTTTCGGAAGATTGTATTGTACGTACTTTCTAGGATTATTGTTAAAGGTTACGTTCTATTATAATACTTCTTGAAGTTAGATTTCTCTAATATATATATATATATATATATATATATATATATATATATATACTACGTGAAAATGGCGTTTATGTCATTTCATTCAACACTTTCAGTACAAAAATTTTAAACAGAAATGTGGAGCTGATTTGAGAAAATTAAAATTGTAATATTGTCAATATTTGAATAAAATTTTGTGCCAAAACTACGTTCATATTAAAAAATAGATAACAATCATTAATTGTGGAGAATGAATTTCATTTGAAAAAAATCTCAATCTCTAGAGTTGTAAGTAAAAACGCCGAAAACATTAAATTTTTGTAATTTTGGAAAATTTGGAGAATTCAAGGCTAATGAAACATGCGCCATTTTCCAAAAGATTTTCTATTTGGGAAAAAATTAAACAAAATTTTTGGAATCATTTTTGAGAAAATTTTGAATGTTGTTGAGGCCTCACGTACGGTACACTCAAAACTTCGTTTCAAAGTCAAGGAGCCCCAACATATGCCAGATCGATCAGGAAATATCAATTATGGTGAAGTCATGCGTATAAGGTTTAGTCGTGGCCCGACTGCCAGACATCCCGACGAACTGGCGAAGTAACAGGCAGATTGACAGACGGAGTAACAGACCGTCACACAGTCTGACAGACCAACAGACGGGACAGACAGAGAGATGTTTAACCGTCTACCACTTTTTCCGACCCTCAAAACGTGTATTCTGACTACATAATGCGTTAGAAAAGTTATTAACTACATATTGAATAAAACTATTCCAAAATTTTGTTATCAGGGCTCCACAATAAAAATTTGTCTAGCGAAAAATCACCTTTTCTTGCCGCAGCATTACAATATTTTCTCTACACAGTGTTAGTAGTACGCGAAAATGGAATGTACGACTTTGCATATCATTTATAAACATTGCAGTTTTCGTTTGGTTTACCAGTCATTCGTTCCTTTGTCGAAAGACTGGTTCTTTAGATGTGGCTTTGTTGTTAGTTAACGTAGTGCAATTTGGCAGTTAAATAGCCTTCCAAACTAATTGTCTAATTATTTCACTAGACATTTATCAAATTAATTTATACTTAAATTATACATAAAATTATGAAATTGCTAATTATAAATGAATGTGAACTTTTCCTCGACGTTTTAAAATGACACCACGAGTGAATGAATTGAAAATGAAAATTCGAAGAAAGAACATACAACACTGAAGAACTTGTATTTTGGGAGTCTGTTGCTCAAGTAAGTACCTGAATATTTTGTACATGTAGTTAGTATTTTGATCAGTAGAAGTAGGATTGTATTTTAAGTAAAGTAGATTTATAGATAACGAGGACATTTATGAACTTGTTGAGCAGTTGATAGAATGTAGACTGAAGTTCGTTCCTTAGGCTTAGTGCAATGGAAATCAGTACCTATTCAAGAATATATCCTTGCAAGAGGGAACGTATTGATTTCTCCACAGACTCTTGCACATTTCATCCGTCCATCTACGAATTCAACGGGAAATTTAAACGAAATCCACGAGATATGACTGAGTTTTGTGCGTGAAGCCATTACTTTGGCTCTCCAGAACTAATTATACTTATAACGTAATATGCCTATCAAATTCACACATAAACAAACCGCTTAAACTGGCTAATGCAATTTTTTCCTGAATGGGGCGCCATGCAACGTTATCCCAAGAAATAAATAAAAAATTACTTTTCTACTTGAGATGGCAAGAGCAAACCATTCTCTAGTGTCTTCAGTTATCATATGAAAAATAAGTTAAAAAACAGTAAGTGTGGAGAATCGGTTCTCTATTACTTGATTTGGTAATCAAGAAATAGAGAACCAATTCTTGACTTTTGGTGAGGACGACAGTAGCTGATGAAGTTGTTGTTTCTGCAAAGTCATATTTCCCAAATGAAATGACATGTCACTGCGCTACAGAGACTTATCGGATAAATTTGTGAGCGGAAGATGATAAAGCAAATAGTATTCCTTGTCTCTCTGTGGTTTCGAGAATCACGTACTTTCTCTGGTGAACCCATTGTGAATCAGTAAATGAAACTTCTTGCCGGATGTGTACTTAACTTGAAGATATGTAAACCGAGGATAATAAGACTTTCTGGTGACCCCTCGTGAAGTGATCGTGCAATCAAAGGCTGCGCCTATGTCTTCGCAGCTGCGACGACGTTTGATGAAGCCGACGCGTTGGCCTCTCGTGAGTCAGCAACGCATCGTATCGTGGACGCCTCGCGCGCGGCCCCGTTCCGCTATCTTCGCACAGATATCTCCGCTATCTCGCCCATCCCGCGCCGCGGGGCCAACGCCTGGGGTCGACCCGCGGCCGCAGGCGGACCGTCCGCGCCAGCTGTTGCTCCCCTCCCCCTCCCCACGCGTGAGAAGCGCCACGGCGCATCCGCTCCGCGCATCCACGGCGCCGCTGGCGGGTCTCCGCCGACCGCGGGATAAAGCTGCACTCGTCTCCGCGCCTCCGCGGCACTCGCTTCGTCGCTT